CGCCCCCCCCCCCCCACGCCCCCCCATCTGGTATTTCCAACCACCCATTTATTTTTCTGTTTATTATATAAACGACAGTCTTAAATGAAAAGCGATAATTTTTACGGAAAAGCGATAATTGAAAAGGCGATAATTTTCACATGTGAGATTATCATAAATAATTTCACATGTGAGATTATCATTTTTATCAGTGCTTGAAATCTCTGTAAAACTCTATACTTTATATAATAAAAATTCATAAATTTGAACCATGCTAGAGCATGACAACAGCAAAATGCTCTATAGTATGATGCACAATATTTTGGGAGGTGAAATACAGGAACAATAAATGCAGGAACAATAAATCAGAGAGTGTTTGCTTGGAACTCACTGGGGGGGGGGGGGGGGGGGGGGGGCAACACCCCCTGATAATTGCTCATGAGGAATTTCAGGTAGATTTCCAGTGCACTGTTAGGTAAATTTAGGTAGATTTGCAGAAGATTTTCAGGGGAATTCAGGTAATTCTCAGGACATGAGAAAGTGAATTTGGAAAACAACTGTATTTTCGGAAAAATTATTATATGTCCTGAAAATTTTTTTAATGAAAATTCTATCTAACCTCACACACCCCCTCAGACGAAGTGCTCGCAACGGCACTGAGTATACATCTTTTGAAAACAGGCGAGGGGTTATTGCATGCATGTATTTCTAGTATTATGTTATTGTCTATATGGCTGTTTTGCGTACGTTATGCTGGGCATCAGTGTTCCCGCCTGGTTCATCACTTGCAAGTATAGGGTTACCAGGGATAAGAAGGGGCATTTCTATTTGCGCGTGGAGTTCAAAATGGTGGTCATCTCGAGCGTTTTGTTTTGTTGAAGTCTGTGATATTTCATCTTTTTATGTTGTTTCTGAATAAAATTTACACATTAATGAATCCAGGAATAATTTGGCCTAGATCGAAGAGCCGTTTGATGCTTTAAAAAGCTTACTATACCGAATATAGAAACGTTTGTATGGGGTATGGAAGATAGCACTTGAGTATAAATTCAGTGGGCAGAAAGAATGTCCGCTGTTTTTACCATTGGTGAAACCGATTTTGATGATCTTGATGACGAGGTGAGTTAACATTATTAATTCTATTTCAACTATGAATGTGGGATCAAAAATGCAGGTTATTATGTGTTTATTTATAGCATCTAGTCAGCATATTTTTTAGATCATGTTCTGAGCCTTTGACATGCTGTTCAACGAAACAGGGAATAGATCTGTGTGAGCTTTATAAAACTATGTTTTTGACTCCGTTTCGCCGGTGTGGCTTTGCTAACTGTATAAACAAAGTCAGTATGTGCCAAAAATTTCAACAGAAAGACATTTTTGAAACACTTGCTATACAAATTTGACAAATAAAAATATTGAAATAACGAAAATTTCATGCCGCTGCCAAAACACACGTGGCCGGGCGACAGTAAACTGATACCTTATAAATTCCATGAGCCTAGTCATTATTGCATTTTCTTCAACAAATGGTTTATTAATACTAGTTTTTGGGATTCAATCTCAGGGCTCGAAATAGCGGGGTGCCAAGGGCCATTGGGTCGTTCCAGAAAAGATCCATACTCCCCCACGGAGGAAATTTCTGCCGTCCGGAGGGGGAGGGGAGAAAAAATGTTTCTGATAATAGTAAACGTACTAGGACATCCGAAGGGGGTAGGGGGGTTAACTTCCTATTTCCTCTGTGGGGGTGGTATGGATGTTTTCTGGAATGACCCATTCCTTTTAATGTAACCCCCATATGGACAAGAATTTCTGAGGGGGTTTGAAAAAGCCATTTCTGAGGGGTTGTGTGCATCAGCATCCTTTGATCCTTGCGTTTTTTTCTGAGGAGTAAGGGAAAAATTTCTGGAGGGGGAGGTGTTTGTGTCGGCATGTGATCTTTTTTCTTAGGGGTTAAAATTTTATTGACCTTGTCCATAGGGAGGTGTGTACATTAAATGGAATGGCCCCAAAAGCAGGCCATATTTTAGAAATGTCAGGCAAAAACAAATTTGAACTGCCAAGTCAAAAAAAAAATGGCAGGTGAAATTCTAAAGATATATTTCATTTAATTTGCTTACCACAACCATATATACTCGATCATTTAGGTGACTAAATACGTTTATATTTTAAATGTAAATTCAAGTTCACTGTAGTATAAAATAGAGAAGTTTAAAAATAATAAAAATGCATATCATGAAAACATTGATTTTTACAATGTGACTCATTAATGCGCCTATCATTGTTAAGCCCCAGAGTGGGGGGGGGGGGACCCCCTGGGGAATTTGACATTTTCAACTTGTCTTTTGTCAATTTTCTGACTCTGGGGCTTAAGTGGTTGGTCAAATTTCGCCTCTCCTGGGCAACCCCTCTACTCTGAAGGAAACAACATTTTAATAAACAGGAATATACAACAAAATCATATTGAACTGCAAAACATGCATGTCCAAAATAAGTCGTCTATTTGTTCTAGTGGACCAAAGTTGTTCCAACATGCACACTGAACATTGGTGAAAAAAGAAAGATTTTCTCACCTTTATTCCGAGCTTTGACATGAAGTGAGAAAACCGCGCATGCTCAGCCGAAAATTATTCCAATTATTCAAAATGGCGGCTATGTCAAATTTCCCCACCCTCGGACCCGTCAGTATTGTCAAATTCCCGAGACTCATAGCATCATTGATGATCAATTCCCCGGCGGTTGCCCCCCCCCCCCCTGGGGCTTAGACATCACCATTTTGGCAGTTCAATGAATAAAAATGGCAGGCTAAGATTTGTTTCAATGATCTGGTTTCTTTCACTTCACTTGGTGGAATTATTATTAGAATGGTCTTTTTAGGGTTTGTAATCCAAGTGAGTATATATACACTTTAAGACCTGACCAGTCCTGAATGACTGCGAAAAATGCAGCACAAGGTCCTCTTAGGCTTGGGCGGTTTACCGGTTTTTCGTGGTTTTTTTTTGGTTTTATTTTCAAACCGGTTTTTTCGGTTTAGCTTTTACAAAAACCGGAAAACCGTCATTATATAATTGTTTACTGTCATCGCCTGAAACTCGATCTCAATTCTCAAAACATGACACTAATCAAACTCAATTACATGACACTAGATACAAATTCTATTATTTTCCGTAAAGTCAGTAAGAACTAAAGAGGTATAAGTTTTCAAATGCATTCTTGACCCTTTTATTTTAAAACTGAAGTCGTTTTAGGTTACCTTTGCACAATTTTGCGTTTTGTCATGTACTGTTCGTTTGCTTATGTCAAAGAAATACCACAATTCTTCCTCATTCAGTTGAAGTAAAAATTAAACGAAAAAAAAACGGTTTTCCGGTTTTACCGGTTTAGAATCAGACGGTTTTTCGGTTTTGATTTTAAGCAAAACCGCCCAAGCCTAGGTCCTCTGGCAGGAATTGAACCTATGGCCCTGTGATTCCTACGAAACCCTAAAAACAGCATTCGAATAAGATTTATTTCACCTGCCATAAAATTTTAGTGGCAGGCCATATTTTTTCTCTACTGTATTTCAAGCCCTGTTCAATCTACTTATCGCTTAGTGCAAAAGTGGACAAAAAAGCCAAACACTTGTATTTTGCAAGTTTCGGCTTGGTCCGCTTGGACACAGGTGATTTTCACATAATTACTGTTTCTTGCCAGATATTTGAATGTGGAAAATATTCCACTACTTCCTTACAATTAGAACAAGGAGCAGGGCTTTCAGAATTATTCAGAGTACTGTAGGTGTCTGTTTTGATAAAGTATGCGGCTGGAGGGAGTGGGGGCGATCTAGGTTAAAGTCATCCAAAACTACTTTCATTCTTCAACAAGATTTACTGTAAGATGGCAAATGACTACAGAAACCAGTTTTACAAAATAGTACGTCATTTTTGAAAATAACCAGGCTATATACTGTAAAGTATAGATCAAGTTGAGGAAAAATAACTTTGTTTGAAAGCTTAGAATTGAGGAAGGAAAGCAGAATTGATATTTCAAGTACTAAACAAAGTAACTGGTGGTAAACCTTGAGCCACCCACTAGGGCTCCGGTGGCCGCCAGGTTATCTTGAAAGACCTGCAGGAGAAAATCAAGCCTTTGCCATGTCTATGGCAGAGTAGTTTGCATCATAGGCAGTAGAATTGGGGGGTATAGGGAGGCTAAAGGCCTCATACTTTGAAAAAAATAGAAAAATGAGGGGGCTAAGTTTCTCGAAGATAAGGTTTATTATATATTGTATATTAAATATTTGTAATTCTGCATTATCTGGCTTGAAGCAGGAGGTTAACTTGAGGTTTCTGCATGTCAAATGCTCGTCAGAATGCAGGAAGTGCCATGATCTCAGAACATCTATTTCATAATTTTCCGCAAGAGCATGCCCCCACCCCTAGAGTTACAGTAGTTTAGCACCTCTCCCCATTCAAACTACTGTGATTGTCAGCTGCCTGTGAACATGTACAGTATGTATGGAACAATGCTTTTTTGTGAGCAGACATTTGGCAAAGTGTACACTGATAATTAGCTGAATGCCAGTCAATTTATTAGCAGGAGCAAAAGTGTGCCATGCATATGTACCTGTTTCATCTACATGGCAGCCGTGCAATGTTTTGAAATTGAAATTGAATGTCCAGCAGGATTTATTCTACAAATTAAAGTTAGATTTTTGGAATTTTATAAAATAAGTCAAGTCCCAGGCCTAGAAAATATATTTTTCTGCCTGGCAGCAAAATTCAACAATTAAAATTTCCTGTGTAGATCAACCATAAAACATCCTGCATATTCAAATTTCAATGAACATGTGGACTGACACTGACTGCACTTCTCGAATTGCAAAATGTTTAATTTGGAAGTTTCAAAATACAAGGAATTATATGGCATTCCTGTATATATGATGACAAAAATTCCCTGCATATTGTGCACAAGAAAATTTCCTGCGATGATATTTTGTTAAACGTTTCCTGGCAGCGGTGCCAGACATTTTCGAGCACTGTCAAGTCCAACCCTACTGCATACAAACTTACTGTATAGCTAACCCTAGAAAGTCAAAATTTAATAATAAATTTTAAGAAAATATAAAAAACAACAAATTTAAAGTACTTGGCAGGAAACCCACATACAATAATGCCTGAATGCCATTACCACTACATCACTGGCAAACTCAATGAAAACATAATTTGCAAAAAGCCTTTTTTTAAATTAATGATAATGAATTTCAGCTTTATTCCTTTATAATAGATGACTAGAGGAAACTGTTGGCCATGCAGTCACTAATCCACTTTATTATTCTTGGTAATTGCAAGTTACATCATCACTATCATGTTAGATTTCATCTGTAAATCTCATTGTCTTTTGAATTCTTTGAGATTGGTTGCACACAACATTAGGGCTATTTATACGGGACAAAATAAGACGCGACTTACATAAGACGCGTCTTAAATAAGACGCGAGTTTGTCGTATAAAAGGTACAAAATTCTTATGTAAGACGCGTCTTGGATAAGACGCGTCTTACATAAGAACAGGACTTTTAGCTGTTCTTATTTAAGGAGGCTCCCTACAGTTGCGTGCGGGATGTTCGCGGGACCAGCACGTGAACTATCCCACGCAACCGCATGATCAATTGATCAAAACAAAACAAAAATTGACCACGCTTTTTTTAAAAATAAAGCTATTTCTGAAAGGTTTCTAATGGAAAAAAGCGTTGAATAATACTTCGTTTTGAGTGCCAAATCACTTGCGAGTCTATACAGCAATTCTACATACGATACGAATATCACTTAGGGACCGGTCATTATTTATGGCAGGGGTGGGGGCCGAAGAGAAAGTATAATGAAGCCGGAAAAAATCATTACCCCACCTTTTTCGAAACAAAATTTCTAGCTACCCCACCGGTGGAATGCCAGAAATTTTTTTTACCCCACCCAAACGTATTTTGTTGCAATGTCAAAGGTTCAGACATAAAATATGTAATGAAACAGTTTAGTATTTTGTATGCGTATTACTCATCAAGGTACAAAATTGCCCTGGATGAGTAAGATCATCTGCTGTTAGAGAGTAAATAATAATTATTATAGGGTGCTTTGACCACAGTGGACATTATAATTAAAAGGGAATAGGATTGATTGGTAATACTTGTTTACCAATATCCCTTGCCCCTTATTTCTTGTGGAGTAATTAAAGCACACTAACAGTCATGCCTTTATATTATGGGTTACCCTTACAATAGCAAGGTACAATATAAAGAATTATTGTTATCTGAAGGCTTAAAATTTGTCTACTTGTAAAATTGAAATATGAATGGGTTTTTATAGTTTGTATTCAACGCTATATTCCCTTTTCACGAGATAGTGCAAATGCTAGTCCCATAAACATATATTAACCATATAGCTTCAATATTTTAGAACACTAACCGTATTTCACCACCCTATCTCTTTCCCAATTTAAAGTTTCACTGTATATAATTTGGTTTCTTTCACATTCTTGCATTTCTTTATTAATTAAAATGCAATTTTATTTTGAAACAGTTTCACAAAATATGTGCTCACGCCTCACCCATGATTGCAACTATCTAAATTCTAAAATTTCCTCTGAAATTCCTTTAATATTTCCTTACTATAGACAATCACATGTATTATCACGGAATTTTAAAGGAATTCCTTAAGAATTCCCAAGGAATTCTTGAAGTTTATGAAATCAATTTAATATTTTAATTCGTAAACAATACAACGATACTAAAGTATTTGTCCCATGTGAGAATATCTGAATGTAGAAAGTTACTGTAAATTAATGAGAAAAAGTTGCTGTTATACAGTGTGAAGATAAAGATATTCATCCGAATTCCAAGTATGATGATATAAACAATTAAATTAATCTGTAAAACGGGTACTAAATAGAATTCTCTTATTTTATCCATGTATACATGATGTGCTAGTAAAGAAAAACAGCAAGTTGCCAAAGGCTAGAGTTGAACATATTGTGAACTAGCCATTGGAACGATTCTCCAGATTCACAAGGGGCATGGGGCATATTTCATGATTAGCTACCTGAATTGTCCACATGCATGGTTTACAAGCACATACTGGATATAAATATTAGTTATGCAGTATCATGCAAGTGTAGATGCCCAAAAATTAAATCCTGAAAATTTAATAGACTGTACATATACTTTTTGAGATATGTAATAAGAGGATGTTTATATGGGGGTGAGGCTGGATGCCCGGGGTTAGGGGCTACAGACTTAAGGTCACTTTTCCTGAAGCAACATCTCGCTTAGCTATAGCTGGGCCCGCTCTTTACCCATATATACACAAGGTGAACTTTAGTAAGAAATAACAACAAAGACAGGATCTTGCCAAAACTGGGCCAGCTTGGGTACCCTGGGGTTGGCTTGCAGTTGCACCATATAAACAGCCCCTATATATAGGCAGTATATATTTTGTCTGGTAATTGGAGTCTTTGAGATTTTGTGTGTAAATGAATATAAAAATGACCCTTTACGGGTGGGTTGAGGGGGGTGTTTCTGTCAACACTTTGGAAAGCAATAATATTTTATTAAAAAATTAGAATAATCACATATTAAACTCTGATAGTAGTATATATTGTATTGTGTGTGATTAAAGTAAGGTTATTTTTTTTTACCCCACCTCTGCATGCAAGGATTTTTTGGCCACCCCACCTAAAGCAACTATTATTTTTCAGTTACCCACCATTTTCTCTTCGGCCCCCACCCCTGCCATAAATAATGACCGGTCCCTAAGCAAGCGATGTCTTTGTCAACACGGACGTCACCCTACCCTGGTTGCCAGAGGTTCTCATATCTTTCGCTTAATTCCCGCTCGTATTTATTTTACGCGAGGCGCGAAGAGAACCTCTGGTGGCGATACAAATCTCACTTCCATGCCGAGTTGCCGTTTGAGAACTTGCAAAACCGGTTTTATATTTTGTGACGTGTTTGTCATACTTCCGGGTTTGTCATACTGCCAACATAGCTCTCTTCAGACTGTTTGGCAGCCTTGTGTAAAATATCACCTAAACATGTAGATTATTCATTAGAAACATGTAGATTATTCTCGTAACGTACAGCTATATTGTAGAGTTGTATAGCAAAAGCAACCTTTAAAAATTGTTAAATTTGTGGAATGCCGTTTGTAAATACTAGCGAACGTATAAAGTCAAAATTGAAAGAATAATATCTATATGTGCAACAAAGCAAGTATGGTTGTCCTTAAAGGACAACGGGAAAATATTGGCAAAATACATCGTATTAATAACTATCAAAGAATTACCAAAATTTAAAACCTTGAACGATCATATAAAGCAAGTGCACGAGCAACACTTTATATTTTACAAATATTAATAGCGTGAACATCTCATGCCGTCAACTCAAGTCATGCCGCGATAGCAGCTCTTCTCCAGCGCAGAAAATCTTTTTAAGTTCGTAGCGAAACAAAGTTAATCTCAAATAACCCACACTAAGTAAAGCATTTTAATACGTTCGTATTATTACATCGAGATTTATAAACAGGTTTTTTTGTCTAGCCAATCACATCATGCACTTCATGTGACTGACTAACCACAGGGGTGGATCCAGCAAGGTTTTTCTAGGGGGTGCTGAGTGAGCAGCCGAGTGTTTCTTCATAATTCTTTAGGGGGTGGTGGGAGAGTATTCAAATGAATTGGCTTCCTAACGACTCGAGCGCCAAAGGCGCAAGCCTCCTAGGGGGTTCAGAGGTAGGCCCCCTGGAAAATTTTGAAAATTAGAACCCTAGAAATGCCATTTCCTGCGATATGGGCATTGAATTATGAGCTTTTGTTTGACTTCAAAAAAGAAAAAACCTTGGAAATCATGCCATATTTCTGAATTTGATTTTTTTGCACCCCCCTGACCAACGCCAACAGGGGTGCGCACCCCTGTGCACCACCCTGCCTAACCAATCGTGCTTGATACAAAATTTGTACCAAAGAAAGTGAGATATGTATCGCGTGCCACCAGAGCTTCTCTTCGCCTCCCGTAAAATAAATACGAGCGGGAATAAGGCGAAAGATACGAGAACCTCTGGTAACCAGGGTAACGTCACCCGAAAATTGGTATAACTACTTTTGGCGGCATTTTGCATCATAGCGCTCGTGCAAGAAAGTAAAACTTAAAAAATCTTATGTTTTGTCAAATGTGTTGAAGATCACCACAAACTGATATACAACCAGTGGTGGATCCTATTCCGCTATTGTCAACTAATGATACGCAACTGAATTCCTTATCATAAGTTGGTTAAAATTAGGATAAACGTCATTTTTGCACCCCCCCCCCCAATGCACCCCTGTTGACCAGAGCCTGGGGGGGGTGCACCCCGCCCCCCCCCCCTAAATCCACCACTGGATACAACCCTCCTTGGCCTGGGAGCCTCATTCTAATGAATCGTGAGCGAGTAACCTTTGGTTTTAATTCGCGAGAGCGAGGCCCCCATGTCAAGGAAGTATTCGTGATGTATAACTATCGAAAGAATGTATTTCTGTCGCTCGTATTCAACGAAACTTTATTTTTACCTGCTCGCCTTTCAGTTTGATCAGAGAGTGTAAAATAGTTTTGACAGTTCTTAATGGAGTGTCATCTGGTCGGTTTTTCCACGTTGATGTCGGGTGAGCATCGATGAACAGATGGATGTCAAGTAAAGCTTGATTTAAGTTGAGTTCTTGAATACTAGCAGGCAGCATTCTTGTTACACGCCATGTGCACTGGAAAGATAGGATGAAAATTATAAGACCTCTTGCAGAGGTGAAAACATTGTTTTTTCTTTCTGGGAACCTGGGTCGAAGGCTAGAAATTTTCTGTAAAATGTGCAATGTTACAATTACAAAAATAACAAAACAAATGCATAATTATTGTATTATTTGTATTTTAGTAATAATAAGCTTTAGGCTGGTTTTCGTATGCTCGTACATCGCAATACTTGTCTGTTATATACCACAGTTATGACCAACTAGTAAGGATTTAAAAAGTGTCCTATAATCTTATTTATTCCATCACTTTTATTTGTTTACTATTTAATTTGAATTTTATTGGAGACTTTGCAGAGCATATATTTACCATTTTACCTCATTGTGATGGCAGGGGTGGTGGGTAAAAGAATTAATTTCTGTGCAATATTTAAAAGGCTGCTGATTATTATAATTATTTTTATTATTATTAAAATTTTTTGTATGTTCCCCAAAGGGCTTTTCAGCATACAATTACAATTACAATACGAAATTTAAAATAAAGCTATGCTATACTATTCAAAATCTAAGTTATGATTGTCTATTAAAACCTTCATATATATGATACTAAGAATTTAAAAGGTGTTCTTTTAGTTTTTTCTTAAAAACCTTGAGTTCTGGAATCTTTTTCAGTTCATCATCAATATCGTTCCATATCTTAACTGCGCGATAATGAGATGTTCTTTGCCCTGCAGTAGTTTTATAGCTTGGAATATTTAAACAGTAGTTATTTCTAGTCTGGCAATTATGAATAAGGTAACTTGACGCAAGGTTGTTCAGACATTTATAAGTCATTATCGTGTCTTTGTAAATAAGTAAGTTTTCAATAGATAGCCAGTTAAGTTCTTGAAGACCTGGTGTTACATGCTCAAACTTTTTAATACTCGTGATGATTCGGCATGCGAAGTTCTGGACTGTTTGCAATTTCTTTAGATTTTTCGATGAGGTATTAGCCCACACCGAAGAACTATATAACAACTTGTTAATCACCCACCAAAGCTTCAATAAGTAATATTAAAGTTTTTTTTATCAAAGCTCTCCTAAGTAAGTTTTCAATAGATAGCCAGTTAAGTTCTTGAAGACCTGGTGTTACATGGTCAAACTTTTTAATACTCGTGATGATTCGGCATGCGAAGTTCTGGACTGTTTGCAATTTCTTTAGATTTTTCGATGAGGTATTAGCCCACACCGAAGAACTATATAACAACTTGTTAATCACCCACTAAAGCTTCAATAAGTAATATTAAAGTGTTTTTTTTATCAAAGCTCTCCTTTACTTGACTAATTTGACATAATTTGTTTATGCACGTTGACGACAGTTTAGAAATATGGTCATCATAGGAAAGATGTAAATCAAGGTGCATCCCCAAGTCTTTGACAACTGAAACTGGTTTAAGAGTTTTTCCCAGAAAGTTCAGATTGATTTGTGTTGGTAAATTCTGTAGCATTGATCTTGTGCCTGCTAAGAGGAATTTGGTCTTGTCAGGATTCATTAATAATTGATGTTCCAAGCACCATTTAGCGGTTTTATACAGATCGTTTTCTAGTTAGCTATTGTCTGTTGTACGTCTTCGACAAGAAATGCAAGATGGAGTTTTGAATCGTCAACATAGGAGTCGAGATCACTTGAAACCGTTACAGCTGGTAGATCATTAACGTAAATTCCAAACAAAAATGGTGAAAGAATAGAGACCTGGGGCACTCCATGGGTTAGTGCCCTAGTTGAGGAAACACTAGATCCTATTCGTACGTATTGTGATCTGCCCGACAGATAGCTTTCAAACCATTGAATGGCTAGCGGAGACGCTCCTACGCATTTTAACTAATGCAATAGGATTGTATGATTGATGCTGTCAAAGGCCTTAGACAGGTCCAATAAAATGAGGGCTGTTACATGTTTTTTTGTCCATGGCTTCCAGCATCTTGTCCGTAATGAAGATGTTTAAAGTTTCTGTAGAGTGGTGTTTCCTATTTCCATTTTGATGTGGTGATAAACGTTGGTTTTCTGTTATGTATGAACTACATTGGTCGAGTGCAACTCTTTCACAGACCTTTGATAGAACTTCTAAAAGTGAAAGGGGTCGATTATTAGACGGTATCTCTTGATCGCCATCTTTATGCAATGGTATTACTTCAGATAGTTTCCACTTATCTGGAAACTTGCCTAACGTTAAGGAACTGTTAATTAGGTTCGTAAGGGGGCCCAGAATGACTGGTAGACAGTCTTTAATAACACCCATGCTGATCTTATCCGGCCCCGGTGATTTGTTTCTGGGCATTGCCATAATAATTCGTCGAATTACTGAACAAGTAACAGGTTTAAACTTAAACTGTTGATCCGTGGGGTAGATTTCAGAGTTCAACATAGGATCCAATAATGCAATGTTGTTTTTGTTTGCCAGATCTAATGCTGTAGCGGCGGTGATTTTTCCAATTGAGGTGAAGTAGTTATTAAAATCTTCAACAATCGACTTGAGGTCTTTCGTGTAGATATGTTTTTCCTTCTCTTTTACAGGTATAGTTTTATTAATTATTTTCCAGAGAGAACTGGATTATTCTTATGGACTTTAACTTCATCAGATAGATAGTTTATTGCTGCCTCCTTAAGGATAACTTTAACTTTGTTACGAGATTCTGTGTACATTTCCCAATCCCGCTTGCAACGTGTTTTAAGAAATCTCTGATGTAGTTTGTTTCGAGATTTCATGAGTTTTTCCGTGTCGGGCGTAACGAATGTGTTGGAGCGGCTCCTAATTTTGATTGTTTTAATTGGTGCATGTAAATCCAAGGTTGACTGAATAACATCCTTAAGGACTTCAGTTTTAGTATTTACATCTGTTCCAGTAAATATGGATAAAAGGCGATCAGATTTCGTAGCCAGATCAGAAGAGAAAGCTGTGGGATCATAATTTTTATAACTTCTCACCGTGATGTAAGTAGGTGGTGTCTTTGGAACCTTCAGCTTCGTTGATACGTAAATTGGAAAATGATCGCTGATTGCAGAATCTAATACTCCGCTTTCAAGGACTACGGCTTCAGTAGAAACTAGTATAACATCGATGAGCGATTGCGACATGTCTGTAATCCTCATTGGTTCCTTGATTATTTGCTCAAGATTTAAATCATTGCAAAGTTCTGTAATAGCTCTTTTCTCTGGGCAATCTTTAAGTAAGTTACAGTTCAAGTCACCAAGAATAAAAATTGGTTTATTCATAGATAATGCCCGAACATAATTTTGTCTAAAATCATCCTGAATGCAATTGAGGGGGCAGTCCGGAGGTCTATAAGTCACGCAAATTATTATTGTCTTCATTTTCTTATTTTGAAGCTTAATCCAAAGTTGTTGAAAGTTTGATTCTGATGTATATGTTAGTTCGTTTAATATGGTTACTTTTAAGCCTTTTTTGACAAATGCGGAAACCCTGGAGGGGTTTCTTATGTAATCTATCCAGTCTGTAAATTTTATAATCATCAATTGCAATTTCACCATTCGTAACTGTACTATTTAACCACGTTTTGGACATTGTAAGGACGTCAATTTTATGTGATTTTACAAGTTCCTTGGTCTCTATAAGATGTGACGTATTCCTCAATGATCTAATATTCAGGTGGGCAATCTTGAGTTTATGGGAGACGTTAGTTTGGGATCGAGTAAAAGAAGGCCGGGAATTTGAATTTATATTAGTTTGTATGGGAATTTGAATTAAGTTATGTTTATTAGCGTGATTTCCTATTTTGCACTGGTATATCTAGTAATGAAACCGGTAGAATAGGATTTTGTCTCTCGATATTTTCCGGGGCAGACAAGGATCTTTCGGTTTCCGCACAGGTACTGTACGAAAAAAATCAACATTAGATTCATTCAGATTCGTACTGCACAACGGTCCATAATGAGACCCCAATGGCCCGCCATTAGATCGTTGATTGTTGTGGGCATAACTTCGGACATATTTTTTACGGGTTTGAAAGGATTCTGTCCGATTTGGTGTTACATGGCCTCTGTTAGTAATGCGAACGGGAATAGTAATGTTTTGTCGTTGTGGGCTAGGAGCTTCATTATTGGGATTGTTATTTAAGGATGTATTAGATGTATGTAAATCGCCATGTTGCTTATCGTTATTGCGGACGTCGGAAGAAAGGTTAGGCGCTGCATTTTTACATAAATTTATATTATGAGGTTTCGGCCTTTTATCTTCGTTTTTGTACGGTTGATTAGTTTCTATTGTTCGCCTATCCTCATGCATGATTACGCTAATGTCCGAGATACTTTTATCGTTTTCCTTACAGTCTAAAATACATACGTCTGCGGCAAATTCTTTCACACGACAAGGACTATTATTGTTGAACTGTATACTTTCAGCAATTGTTGTACGATTTCCCATGTGTGTGACTTCAGGGACAGACAATTCAGACCTTTGTATACCTTCGCTAACCCTTGTTTGAGCATCGACCTTGTTTATCTGAATGTAGTTTCCTCTTGCATTAATTAACTCGCATACATTCGCTTTAATTACTTGAAGTTCGTTCGACTTTTCCTTGTTATCGCACATTAATTTCTGGATTAAAACATCGAACTCTTGCATTCGAGTAGATTGGGAAGATATTGTTTCCTGATTCTTGTGTAATAATGCTGAGAGCATAGCAACATCAAGTTGTAATTCAGCAACAGCAATGTCCGATTTAGAACAATCCTGGCAAGATTCCAGTGTTTTATTAACAACTTCTCGATCAGACTCAATATCACAATTTCCTAAATTGCTTTCTTCAGTTATAGCTAGTCTTTTAAAGGCATTACTAAGAGCATTTTCTTCATCATCTTGCACAATCGATAACATTTTATTCTTAGGGCCGTGCCATTTGAAAGAATAGTTCGTATTAACGAATTGTTTCACGCCACCGCCAGGAGACTTCCATACCCCTTTCCAACACAGATTATCTTCGATATAAGACTTCAGTTCGTTAAGAGATCCATTCCAATAATATACTCGTTTGCTTGTAAGCATTTTGAAGGTTATACACAGTGTACAGTATACAGTATAAGTACAGTAAATAGCGGAGCTTAAACAGGCACGTCCTATCACGCGGTGTTTTATGTTAGTGTGTACAGTGTAAATAAAGTAGAATAGTTGTAACTTGTAAGTTGAGTAAACAGAGTTATAACTCGTAAGTTGAGTAAACAGAGTTATCTCAAAATGTTGAAATAAATTTTCTGCAAAACTCTCAACCCACAAAAAAATTCCGGGAACTAGGTTCCCAGGTTCCGATACTTTTTCCACCCCTGACTTCTTGCATAAATTGAACCAGCGTTCCTGCGATGCACTAACCACAAATTCCAGCACATATACTTAAGGGCGAGGGGTCCGATAGATAACTTGGTTTGACGGAAAATTCTCGCACACCAAATTTTCTTTTTTATTAGGCTACATCACGAAAGTATACTGACCTTCATTATCAAATCAACAAACTTCGGAGTGCTGGAATAGTGTGTAACACTGTCCTGAAGCAGCTTGATCAAGGAACTGGTAGAGAGAAAAAAAGAAATAAATTATAAATGGCCGATAAATATAATGGCGCTGAAAATGAAATAATGGACCACAATTTTTGCCGATGGTTCTCGAACACTTATCACTTACTCCACTTAAAAAACTTATTGGTTAAAATAACCAATTTGAGTTGGTAATATTTCGCAATATTTCCCGGGGTTTCGACCTCGGCAAATATTTTGCAATATCCCAATCTTTCCGCGCCTACAAATGATAAACATCTTACCAATACATTTACTTACCCAAGAACATGATTTCTATCTGGTTTCTCCGTAATATATAACATCAGCTTATTTACACATCGAATAACTTGGGGACCTTCGTAAAGTTTAATTAGGTTTTCGTCTAGTAACGTGCTGATCATCACATGAATCACATCTTTGAGAATTTCTTTCGGAATTGCCCGTGCTAGCATCGGCTCCAAGAGAAGGGCGAAGAAGTTATTAAAAATACTTTTGTACACGTTGATTACGTCTTCTTCCTGATAAGCATCTGACACTAGGTGCGTGGACAGGATCATCCGTAGTTGAAGAACGCAAGCAATCAAAAACTAAAGAAACAATTACATATTTTTAAAGGGCATATGACTCGAAAATTAACGTTGTTATCTTTTAGTCTAAGGGACCGGTCATTATTTATGGTGGGGGGTGGCACCGAAGAGAAAAAGGTTGGGTAAACTAAATTTTGAGTAAGTAAAAGGTTGGGTAAATGAAAAACAAAACAACTCAAGGGTTGGGTAATAAAAAATTATTGTCATTTCCAAAGCATGACTCACTGAAGTATTGGGGACTAAAAAGCAATGGCAACAGTAGGCCCTACTCTGGGGCGATAACGAGATAATGTGAGTTTAAGCAATTTTAGGTGATTTAAGCAAAATCTGCAATTTAAGCAATGCGAGTTTGAGCAATATAGGGCAATGTACGAAAACAATTAAAATTTTAGGGAATGCTGTTTTAGGTGCTTAAGAGGTAATTTCAGGAATATACAACCATATCCCTCATGACTCCAATGAAATTACCATTAACCTATGCCAAGCATCCAAACATGAGTGTTCCCACACACACACACATATGCAGTGTATGAAGCAAAATATACAATTTAACAAAAAAAAGTTGAAGTCTGCTTGAGGGGGTTCTGGAAACAAACAATACACTATATGCGCATGACGATCAAGTGTTTAAAGGGTAAATAAGCTCAATATTCATGACTTTTTCCATCCATTGTCTATTTCGAAGCCATTGGGGTTTTATTAAATTCATGACACAACTATATTAAATACAATAATACATGACCACATGTTCACATCATATGCAATTGCAAACAATTTTCAAAGGAGTAGGGTACAGAATTGCAATATATAGAGGATATTTCACGGTGGCGCGGAAATATGACTTTTATTTTCGAGTGGTGAAAACAATATTTTACGAACGAGCGCAGCGAGTGAGTAAAATATTGTTTTCAGCACGAGAAAATAAAAGTCATATTTCCAAAGCCACCGTGAAATGTTCTTTTTATTATATGGCCAAAATAAATTTCATCAACTAGATGTTTTGTAGCTCACCGTACGGCAACAATGTTATGTCTCTCCGCTCGTTTATAGAGGCTAAATAGTCGCTGAAGATCGCCAAATCGAACTTAGTCTTCCTTTTTGTGTTTTTATTTTCATTTTCTTCAGAAAACCTTGCAAAATCAGCGTCGGAAACATTAACAAAATGTCGAGAATTTGCCATATTGAATATTCAAAACAGAAACGGCAAAATGGCGGGAATTAGCGTGGGCCCCGCGCGAGACGTTCCCGCGTAAGATATGATTTCATATTTCACTACAGTGAAATACGGGAAATATCAGTGGCGTATTTTACGGTATTTTACTCATATCCATATAATAAAACAACATATAAGTAAATTATACATGTCATGAACTTACCAGTTTGTGTTGAGTTAAATTTAAAAATTTTTATGACATCAAATATTATTTATTTATTTGCAAATCAAAACATTTTAAAATTCTCGTGTTTTGTTTTGTATTACGCCCGCGATATATTAATGGTATTAACCGCTGTGAATATGATATACATTTTTAAAGATTTTTAATACATTACAATACATATTTTGCGCTCAAAAGTTCAGGAAGTGAGTTTCTAGAAAGGATGAAAACTGCGTTTTATATATGGTATGCAAAAGGTAATCGTTGTTTCCTGTTTATTTTGTATTCAGGTATGGGGAATTTAAGCGATGAGAGATTGAGAGTTGCAATTAAACTTGCAAATGTAGTCTGACTAGTTTCTTTGACGTCATCATGCAACTATTTAATATTGTGCTACATTCATTATTCAATTTATTCGCAGCAATTAGTCTTCTATAAGTCATACAAATTATTATAGCTTATAGCCCACCTTGCCTTTAACATTGATCCTATATATAATGAATTAACATAACTAACTTGATTATGTTGCTAGTCGAGCATGGGACCTATGGGTCTTCTAGATCCTATAGAGTAGCACAATTAATATAAAGTCTCCGTAAGGCGGTAATATTAAAGGGGAAGTCAAGTCCGTAATGTAAACAAACGGTTTGTTTACATTTTGAACTGCTGTATTTTTTAAAATATGATGTATTGTCGGAATATCTAACACCATTTTGATTCGCTATGCTTCTAAATGAATATGAAATAAAGTTTATGTTCAGAAAAATTCGAAATTTGGGCAATGTTCACATTAGAGGACCTCACATTGTTATGCGCAGAACCGATGCGCAGAACGGACTTGACTTCCCCTTTAAAGACTGTTCTTATTTATGCATGACCTTTGACTATTAAGTGGCCAAAAATTGTGCCTACAGTAATCAACTTATTCCACTATCCAGGTTGCATCACTTTTGATTGCAAAACACCCGGGTTTATTATACATGGATTTGCTAGCAAAATAGCAGCAATTGATGAAACTTTAGACTGCAGAAAATTTCACAATCCGTTATCAAACTCATGTCACAGAAGTGGTAAAGGACATATGTGACAACTGAATGGTACCTTTTGTAAATTATTTGGCCAGGGGTGGGTATTTATTTTTTAATTGATATTTGAGGTTGGGTAATAATTTTTTTTTACTTTTTAATGGTTGGATCAGCAAAATTTTTGCTACGAAAAACATTTCTCTTCGGTGCCACCCCCCACCATAAATAATGACCGGTCCCTAATTTGAAAGATCATTGAAAACTGTAGTATAACTTCTTTGATAGATTTTTGTTTTCTTGCTTCATTTTGAAGATATTTAATTTTGTATGATATGCAAAGGACCAACTTCCTACGTCACATATGCATAATGATTTAGACATAGAAGCTGTATATCTTTAATACGACTAAACACAATCAGCAGAAAACCTACATGGGTGTTGTTGTGGACAAATCTCGTGCTCATCATTCATTTTGAGCGAATTTATTTGATAGTGACAAAATTATACATTTTAAAGTAAGTCATTATGCATGTATGATGTAGAAAGTTGGTCCTTTGCATACAAAATGAAATATCTCCCAAACGAAGCAAGAAAACAAAAATCTGTCAAAGAAGTTAATCTACGGTTTTCACTGATCTTTCAAATTAGACTAAAAAATAACGTCAATTTTCGAGTCATATGTCCTTTAACAGCATGGAAATAACATACAAGCAAAAGGTATGGCGTTTACATTTCATACATACCAGTCAGGTACGGCTGAAAATCTTGAATTGTCGTACTTAACTGCTACTAGCTACAAACCCAAGGCTCAAGGTGTATTTAGTCTTTAAAATGACATACATAAGTACAAGTTTCAGAAAGGTATTTATTCAGTTACCTCAAACTACGAGTTATAAAACAATTAAGGGACACATTTGCGTATACAAATCCTAAAATTGACATCCAACATTTCCTAGGCGCTATTTATATGATCTTGGACACTGGGGACACCCTATAGCATCAGAGACAACTTTACCGCACGTTTATATGAGAAACATTTATAGCCCTGGCACTGTATCCCCTCCTACGAGAATGGCTCTAAGTACGAGATTGTGACTCCTGAAAGGCCTGGGAAACAGGGAATGAAAAGTTATCCATGGAGGCCGAGACAAACTGTTTAGATGGACAAAAGTTGTCCCTCCTACAAGGGTAACCCTGTTTCGTAAACAGGGTGTCCCTACCGCCATGGTGACCCTACCAGCCAAGACGAGTTGAAAACTTTCCGTATAAACACTTGCGTTTAAACGTTATATAATGAATATAATGCTGCCTCTCCCAGGGTAGCTCGGAGGGTATGGTGTCCCTATAGTACCCGAGATCATATAAATAGCACCTTAGTCCCATCATACAGTATTACGTATTTCTGTCTTTGGCCACCGAGTTGCGTGCGGAGGAGCCTAGACGTACCTCAAAAACGTAATTTATCACACCTTGTCTTAAAAGAAGTCAAAGCGCGCAACCGAACGTGTAAACATTTACTACTCCCTTTTCTGCGTGTCACGGTTACATGCAAGAATCTTCCTTGTCTAATCTCAAACTTATTAATAATTCATGAGTAAATTAGCCAACTATATTGCATGGACTTGAAATCTAGTCCAGTCCTCATAGTCGGATTTGAAATATTATATTCATATTCTTAAGTATGTTTAAATATTTCATAATACACTCTTTCGATAATTATGTTGCAAATGCCAGGCCAGGAACCTCGTTCTCATGAATTGGCGTTCTCGTGAACAGCTATTGACATTTAAGGCATTAAGGAAAGCAACACCTAATAACTATTTATCGGAACTATTTTTGTGAATAGGTATGTAAACCGCATGGCCCTTCGAGAATCAGGCAACTGAAAGGCCACCATGTGTCTAAATAAGTTTAAAAAATAATAATTATCGTTCTCATGATTCACGAGAGCGAGGCTCCCAGGGCAAGGAAGGTACTTGTGACGTAATGGACCATTTGCCTTATAGACTAAATTTTGATCGGGGAAAATTGACGGCCCAATACCCTTTGGGGCTGTCAATTTCCCGTTTGTAATACAAAATGACTGAAAAACGACAAACTTCGCAAGGCTATATTATCCGCATTTTACAACATTTCGCAACGAAACTTGGGAATATTACTAATTTTGTGATGCTCTTTCAAGCTGTGATGAAATTTTTGTCTAGACTTGTTTAGATCAAAATTTAGTCTATAATGCAAATGGTCCATTATCGAAAAGGTGTATTTGAATATTTATTGATCGAGCATGTGCATTTTAGACTCGATGTTTGCGCATTGCGCAACTCTCTTATGTGTGGGAAGAACTTACTTGATTAAGATGTTTCAACCAAACAGCAGGACCCTTGATTCTGAAGTGATCTTCTAGTTCTTTCAATGCAGTGATTGCTAATTTAATTTCATTACTCGCAATCTGCGACACGCAGTAATCAACTGCAGCTGACGAACTGCTAGGTGAAAACATTTTTCGACCGTGACTGCTAGACGAAGTGCTACAAGAAAAAATATACGATATTATTACACATTCAAACTTTATTTTTGTTCCTGATTGGTCAACAATCTCCAGATAATTCTCAATATCCGGTAGCTGCACGTTATTTCAGCGTGCAATAAATATTTTTTTTGGACCGACGTGGCGACGCTTGGTCATGATTGACCACTCTCAACTCATATATGTTATGATGGATTTTCCAACTCCAATGGTGATTTCCAAGTGAAATAGAATCTTGGTATCCGCCAATACGGTTATCGGAATATCGTTAAATTCCCATATCGGTACATCATTACCAATGTTCTCGTCTTTGTCGAATGCGTGGAAATTACCCATTGATCAACTAACACGAACAAAACCAGTAATCTATACCTTCCAGTCGTCCGAGGTAGTGTTGGTACAGGTTCTTTGAGTAAATCATCCACATCATCATTGGCAACTAATGATGGTATCTCGTTAGATGAACTACCAGACGTCTTCTCAATCTTATCAAAATCCAATGAAAAGTACTGCTGAACAGACGGAGCTGTTGAGGCTGAATTAGATCTAAGATAGAAAAATTTTTAAAAGAAACTTTTCGAAGAAATTTAGTCCCACATGAAGAAGTTTCAACAAGTTTACCCTGCTTGTGACGTCATCAAAAACTCGGTTAATTAGGGCAATTATAATACCAAGATGGCGGACTGCACACTGTTTTTGGTTAAAATATTTCGAAAACCAAGCAAGGTACGAAAAAGTTGTTTTAGGGTCTTCATATATAATTTTAAATTTTCTTTCAAATAAGACCAAGTTAATTTTTATTGCCATATCCCTCCAAAGGTGATGAAATTCTATGCTAATTAAGATCAGATCACATGTCCAGTTGCCGTCACACTTGTGATTCCTTTCTTTACCATCATTAAATATTCATGATTTTTATTTGAGATAGCTCCATCAGTTGTATCTTTTCTGGAGTGGTCAAGTAGCAGTCAAGTATGTAGTGAACTTGGGAACCGAACTTTCATTACATTTCTGTATTCGATCCAAAGCATATATACCTTACTAAACTTCACTCCCCAAACTCACTTGAGTTAGGGGGCTATTTGGTGGGGTATTATGAGGCGGTCGAAAGGATTTGTGACGAAAAACAGGGGAGTATACCACACCCAAGTGTTGTTGACGTGTTTTTATCATCAAATATAAATATATAAACTATAAAAACGTACTTGGTCTGAAGAATAGCAGGTTTCGACGATTTTTTTTCAGCAGGAGCACTGCTATCACTGGACTTTTTCACAGGCTGGTTTGTTGGCTTAACAGGTTCAGCAGCAACTTTAGTTTTGCCAGCTCGACGAATACGTTCTTCCAACAAGCTTTGATCTTTCTCAGAAATCTGAAAGATTATATATAGGTATTTCAAAAAATTTTATGTTATAAGCATGTCATATATATTTTGTATTAAAATAAGCTCCCTACGGCTGAGAGTTGACTATTAACGCATACACTGTTAATAGGTAGGACTTTAGTTCCCTAGATCGTCGTGTATATATGATCATGATTTTATGTCAATATCGTATAGTTCATGTTCTGTCTCAACCACCTGAACATATTCCCACGCTTTGAGGAACTAGAGCTGTGCAAACTCCGTCTCCGGCAGTCAAAACTCCTGCTCCTGCTAGGAATAGGTTAGGAGGGGCAAAAACGCGTGTGCTCTTATTCCTTTCCTCACCATTTTGAATGACGTCCGCTTAACCGACCTTCCTTCCAGTGATTAGACTGCGAGCAGTCCCTCCTTAAATGGAAAGGAGGGACAGCAGACAACACATCAAGAAACGAAATATGCCCACTTTTCGCACCTCCCCTTAGCTCCAATATAATTATTTTGGCGTTGTAAATAATTAAGTAACTTTTTATAGCGCGTATCGTATTGTTTTAAAAGTAAAAATTCAAGTTTACATGCAATGAAACGACGACGTTTATATTTTACAACCCCAAATATTATACCTCAAATTCAAATTGTCCAATGAAAAAACAGCATTTGTACCACGTGATAATGTGATTTTTTACGGTATTTCACTCAAATTCATGATTTCTCAATACAGCGCGAGATACGTATAATATCCCACGGCAGATCCACCGTGGGATATTAGAGAGGTTAAGATACCCCGGTTTCGGTGTACGGGTACGAGTAGTGTCATCTTGTTTTACTGATGTCTGTAATTCGATCATATTTTTTCTGTTTTCTTGCAATAGACAATGATATAATGCGAAAAATGTGCACCTTAATTACGAGTAAAGATACGGACATCGACGAAAATATTGCTAACCAAAATCATGCTACCCGTACACGTATACCGAAACCGGGGTATCTTAACCTCTCTATTATAGTATCCCACGCTCACGCGTGGACACCACGCTCTGAAACAATATGGCGTTCGCTAGCTGTTGTTTGTAATTTCGTTATTCTCGTACAGAAGATTTGATTTAAATAAAGATTTTCAAGACGTATGTTACCTTTAATGATACAAAGGATACATGCTCAAATATTTTAAAGAGGAAACGTCAAAAACTCAGGTATACATAAGAAATTAAAAATTGTATTCGCGTAGTTATAAATATTCAGCAAGTTTTAACGTTTATTCTGAACTTAGTGAGTTCTTTAACTTTCGGTATAATATATCATTTATAGACCCTCCGTTCGGGGGATTCGGCGATATTTCCCTCAGTGATATTTTCCTCGGAGCAAAGCCCCTCGGAAAATATCGTCACTTCGGGAAATATTACGCCGAATCCCCCTCGCTCCGGGTCTATAAATGATAAATATACTTTTTGGTATGTGTAATATTTGGGTCAGTCTAAGAAGAAGAAATGTAATGTATCTTTATAGTAAAAAACCTCATTGTGATAACTTTTTCACTGTCAAAGTTTCCGCATATGAGGTCATTAGGTGAATTTTTGGTACAAAAAACAAAGGAAAACTAATTTGCAATTCACCTAATGACATCATATCCGAAACAGTGAAAAGGTTGATCAAGATGGGATTTTTTGTTATAAAGATATATTACATTTCTTCTTCGAATCACCCAAATATTACACATACCAAAAATCATATTCGGAGTTCCCATACACTTTAAAGTATTCTTACCCTTCCAAGATATTTGTACACGGTCTCTCCAATCAGATTATAGACTTCCACAATAGCATTCAAAGCAGCACTCCTGACAGCATTGTCTCGATCCGCAATTTGCGCGGCTAGAGCAGGCAGCGCTTTTGCTGGACTCGGTTGACAAACATTTTCACCATAAATACTTATCAAATACGCAATTTCCCCTAAGCACTCCGTCCGTGTTTTAGCATTCTTAGATTTCAGTCCGTCTGCGATATAGTTGAAAAGTTTGCTAGCTGGATATACTTTAATGATCCATTTTAACAAGCCACGGATCATCTTGCGTACGGCATCTTTGGGGTCGCCAACCTAAAAAGCACCATCAGCTAGGTATTAAAATCTGAAATGATAATCATTACATTCCTGCTATGTATACTTCCATAATATTGCAACTCTTGAAGATAGTAAACAAATCATTGATTTTTTGAAATGTTGGACTACAAATAATTATGTGTCACTGTAATAAAAGGTTATTAACCGAGAGCGAGGTCTGTACGGGAAGAGGTTTTCGTGCCTGAGGTTTTCGTACAGACCGAGCGATGAAGGAGCGAGGTCTGTGCGGATAAACCGAAGGCAAATACTTTCCCGTACAGACCAAGCAAAACGAGGTTAATAAACCGATTATATGGCTCCTTAAACACATTTTCTGATTTTCATATATTTGTTTGAGCGCTATAAAGGTATTTTTGAGCTATGTTTTATTTGCTAGTTTTCTTCGTTTATAGATTTGGTTTCGTCACCGAATATTGTTTACGGAAAAGCATGTTTAACAATCGCTTTAGAACTACTTTTCGGTAACCCCCACCCCCAGAAAAAATGTTTATAAACCCAGTTTATATGATATTTGTTTAGAATGTGGTATTAAAGACGTTAAATTCATCTTTATTTATTTTTTGAAACAAGTAAACAAATCAAAAAAATTTCCCGCCAAAACTTACGGTTGCCAGTAAGAGTTCAAACGGCTTGTTTTCTTAGCTTTTTCGATGAAATTTGTGTTGGTACAAGTACTTATTAATATTTCCAAGACTTCTTATTCTTAAAAATGATTCAAGGATACTTTTTCTTCACATAACGACCTTATAAACGTGTAAAAACGTTTCAAATTCGAGCCTGTCAAATTGACATACGGGAAACCGGTCCGGATACGGGAAAATACGGACCACGGTCCGGATACGCATTTTACGGATCGCACGTCGACCAATCAAAATCCAGGATTCTGCAAAGCCATATAATAATAGTTATTATTATATGGCTTTTCGGCAAAATTCTCTATTCTGATTGGTTGACAAGCGGTCCGTAAAAACCCATATCCGGACCGTGGTCCGTATTTTCCGTATCTGGACAGGTGTCCCGGATGTCGTTTATCTGGCGAGAAATTTTTGCTTTGCAAACAGAACTTTTTTTTGCCTTTTAATTTTCCAATTGTGTGTCATTAAAATTTACAGATAAAAATTTCAAACAATCAAAATGTTTTTGATTGAGCATGCATTCCTACCGTATATTGTTACCCAGTGGAACTGATGATAGCCGATTTAATTCGCGCGAAAAGCATATGCTCACAGACTCAGTTCAGCCATATAATAAACCGATTATTGACCTCGCTTGTTCGGTCTGTACTGTGAAATATCAGACCTCTGTTTTTTGCATGGCCATGGACCTCGCTCCTTCGTCGCTCGGTCCATACTAAAAAACTCGATCTGATATTTCACAGTACAGACCTCACGCTCGGTCAATAAGCCGTTATTGCTGCGGAGCGAGCCTGAAGCGAGCGAGCGTAGCAGCAGCCTAACATATGCAGAGAGGGGGTTTTGAACTAAATTCTATTAAGCGCATGGAATTGTGGTCGTGCGCGCTTCCTATGCGCAGAACACAAATTTTAAACTCGCTCGATTCCATGTGCTTTTCGACAGCTTTTTCAAGTCTAATGTTACGTTTACATTTGTTTACTCCTTTTTGGAAAGTTGGCAATCTCAATTTATATATCTATGAACCGCTGAAAGCACACAATCGTTTATCGATCGCAGCTAGATTCAGTGTCTGTTCATTATTTATTTATTTTATTAACAGGGGCGGATTCAGACCGTTGCAACCGTAGCATATGCTACGGTCAGATTTTCCCTGAGATATATTTTTCCAGGTTGTACCTTTTTTAAAGTTATTAAAAACTAAAACGTTATACTATTTTTAATTGCCGTTATTTTCAATTTTTCATTGAAAATTGGTGCAGTTTTTTTAAAATTTACTAAATCATATTGATACAATTTTATCGAGTTTTTATTTCATTTTGGATAATTAAATTCGGGTTTTTCTCAAATTTCCGCCCGAAATACTGCCTGTATTTGCGGGTTTTGCACTAGTACTATATCACATCGTTCTGAAGTCGTAGCATTTGCTTCATTGTGATTGGCTTGCTTCGTCTAACCGTAGCAAACCAATCATAGCGCTGTATTTGGAAATTTTTACAGTGGTCAGACTGAAACTGACCGTTGCAAAAATTCGCAAATACGGCGTGCTGATTGGTTTGCTACGGTCAGACGAAGCAAGCCAATCAGAATGAGGCAAAATGCTACTGTTTGCAATAGTCGCATCGACTTCAGAGCGATGCTGGCTTGTTATTGTCGTGTCGGCTCCTCGTTGTAATCGAATAGTCGGTAAATTTTAATCGATCGCCGCTCGTTCCAAGCAGAAAGATATGGCTTCTACAGGACTCCACGATCTTCTCATTCTGTGTATAATGAACGAATGTAAACATGTTTCATTTGACGAAAAGGTGCGCGAAAGAATTCTGATCGAAAGCTTTTGGTGTGCGATTATTGGCATAATTTGCATTTCCCGCGATGTGAACTGTGAAGATAGCGCTGTTTGAATCACCTCCGTGTCAGGTCAGTCTCATGAATAGTATATTAAATATGTAAATAACATATCGAATTTTACACAGTTCATGCGTCTCGAATATATTACCATATATTTGCTGATAAAACGTATTATTATAAAAATGCAGAACAATATCAATGGCCACTCACACTATTTGATAGCCATTGGCATGCCATGTGTGTTTATATTAAGAAATATGTTAGTTAATCTCCTATATATTTTATATCTTAGACTTTGCTCATGTAATTATTAGTTGTAGACCTATTGTAGTCTATAAAGAGTAGTGAGTAGTGTAAATGAAATTTATAGAAATAGTTACACTCCGATATATTATATTGTAGTTTACATGTTTACTAACAGAGTTTAGAATTACAACAGTTGAGCCTGTTTCCTGGGATAACGTATCATAAATATATGGTTAGATGTTTCAAATCCATGTATTGTATACCTTACTTGTATTAAAATTCGCGTCGTATACTCATTTTCGTTCAGCTTTAAATTCGCGCATTCCAATTTCGCGAAACTTGTTCGCGCAGCTTTAAATTCGCGCAAGTAATTTTCCGTGTTGGTTCCTTTTGGTTTGTTTAATAGAACTATAACTAGGGTACCTGCAAGGTAGGGATTGCTGCGGGCATTAAAAGCAAATAGAACTACAGTAAGCAGCACAAATTATATCAAGCACAGACACAGTGATTACTCGCAGCGACTAGTGAGCTGTGAATGGAACTGAGAAGAATTAAGCAATATATATTGAAGCACATTAACCGTGGATTGAAGTAGCAAAGACCAGGGGTTAAAGGGGAGTTTAGGTTTTTGTCGAGGGTCGAGGGTCCAATGTCGAGGGTGAGGGTAAAAAGTCGAGGGTGAGGGTAAAAAGTCGAGGGTGAGGGTAAAAAGTCGAGGGTGAGAGTAAAAAGTCGAGGGTCATAAAAAAGTCGAGGGTTGTATTTTTACGACAACTATAAGACAACTACTAACGATAAAAGAGTTTTTAAAACGGTGTTTCGATTATTTTCTAAGCCCCTTCACGCTCGCAAGTTAACATGTTTATGTCCAATATGAGAACGGTCTCTTTGCTTTCTTATAACAGCATAGATTATCGGGCAGCTGTAATCCTCTCCTCAAGCCAGTAATGGCAATACATTAAGGCAAAATATATTACCAATAGCAAGTTATGATAAAAAAAAAACTTGTGTGGTTTTCTGCTAGATCGGAGCGCGGTTTATAGCGCGGTGCTGACATGCCACTGTTTCAACTAGAAACCAATTAACGCTAAATGATTCAGTCAATATTACTCGTCTCACGGCCAAACATTGGCATTGACCAACCTCGCAAGCACACCTGCGGCGGGACGGTTGAACATTGCCATTGGCCTGTTTATGAAATTGTACTACGTTTAGAAACTTTTTTAAGACTTTTAAGTTAATATTGACAATAAATGCTCTTTGACTTTGCTTTTAATAAAAAAATTCCGCCTTTTTATCAAAAAATGCCTTAATCAAAAGTGGCCTGGAGACATTACACGCTAGAAGACATGCTGCGTGCGTGAAACTTTTTAACCAGACGACCCAAATCATCAACTTAATGAGTTAGTTTCTAGACCAGAATTCTCCCTTAATTCATGATTTACATAAGGAGAAACACCGTATTAAAAACTCTTTTATCGTTAGTAGTTGTCTATAGCTGTCGTAAAAATACAACCCTCAACTTTTTTATGACCCTCGACTTTTTATCCTCACCCTCGACTTTTTACCCTCACCCTCGACTTTTTACCCTCACCCTCGACATTGGACCCTCGACACTCGACAAAAACCTAAACTCGTTAAATAGTCCGTATTCCCAAGCCAATTATCGTTCAGTTTCGTTGGACACCTTCGGAGACTACGCCAAAAACTCAGAATATATAAATTTTTACTCACCTTTCACATTTCTGCTTGTTGGCACTGCTAGAAACCTGCAGTTTTTTAGAAATTTGCATTTGAATTTCAACAATTGGCACTCCTCGAAATTCGAAATCCGCCATTTTGTTTCCAAGGAACTTCATGTAAAATATGTTGAAGTAACTAGTCTCAGGCTCTTTCCAGGGGGGAGAACTCATTGAACTATAAATAAACTGGAAGGCTAACTCAGGGGGGGAAATTGAAGCCAGTGTATTTTAGTTTTTCTGAGTTATGAGCAGAAATACTCAACACTTAACGTTGGGCTACATATCAAATTGAAGCTATTGAAAAACGCTATTTGGTGTAGAAATTTCAAGACTTTAGCTAAAAGGGAAATATTGAAAAATTACATACATAATTACCGATAATTTGCCGTTTTGCAGTTGTTTTTGTATTTTTTAAATATTTTTCTTTTCGCTGAAGTCTTGAAATTTCCACAGCGAATAGCAATTTTCAATAGCTTCAATTTGATATATAGCTCGACGTTTGGGATCAAGTATTTCTGCTCATAACTCAGAAAAACTATTTTGGCTTCATCAAATCATAGGCCTTCATCATAGCAGTTAGCCTTCCAGTTTATTTATAGTTCAATGGGAGAACTACACGCGCAAGGACAATTGAGCGCGGTTTATTCACAATAAACTCGAAAACATCGGACAAAAATTGACGTTGACGGTTAGTATTTCACACGAACTGATTTAAACATATTAATACAACTAAAATACAACTTGAGGTGTCTCCCTTCAATTTAAAAATAGGAGGAAATCAAAAATTAGATCAAACTTTTTGAAGGAATATTACTTGACAGAAGTAACAACAATTGTGCAACTTTTATAAAGCAACAGTCAAAGAATTTGAAATTGGTCACAAGAGCGACGTCATCGCTGTTGCTATGGCAACAATGACGATTCAAGATATTAAAAAAATATATTAAAATAAAAATATTATGTTTTAAAATTCTGAAGAGCCAAAAAAATTATTTCGAAAAACCATGTTTATAATTCTTTTAAATTTAGCTCAACAGATTTGTTTTTAAAATTGGTCAAATATTTTGTCGTACTACAAGAAAATGTTTCCTGAAATAAAAAATTCGGTTAACCATGCGTATTTTTTAGTGAAGTGTTATTTTTGATTTCTAGCAAATAACATCTCTTCAAAGAGTTGATCTAATTTGTGCATTTTCAACATTTCTATAAAATGTAGGGAGCTACTTTAAATATCATTATCCATATCCAAACCGAGCTCTTCCTCTTCTTCCATCTCTTTGTCTGACTGTTCGTCATCAATCGCTGCATTCATACACCCAGCACAAGTACATACATCTGTACATTGGATCATGGCTTTCTTGCACGAACAACGGTGAGTTTCGCAACCAGTCTTGCAACCACAATGGATGAATTCAAGTATCGAGTCCCGTGCCGGAGGACGGGTCAACCACACGATCTTCAACTCTCCGTCGACTATCCGCCATCCATGACAACCAGGAGGGATATCCATTTCTGCGTCAAGACACTGGCGCCAAATAGCTGCTTGATAGTTTGCCCGACGTATGTGTTGCAGCAAGCTTTCACATGTTGGCGGTAGCATGTCATCAGAACACTTTCCCAATTTGAACAATGCAAACCTACATTTGTTGACATTCTCGGATGTTTTGTCGCCATACATCAAGCAAACAAACCTTATTCAGCTGTGCAACGAGATCATCCGAAGGAGAAAAAGTACTCCCATGCAAGTGATACGAATGCAACCACGTATCCACGATTGCGCTCGAGCGTGTCCCACGTCGTTTTCTTACCTTTCCGATAAAAGGAACTGGTGCTGTCACAACCTAAAAAATATATTATGCAATGTTATTATAAGAAACTGATATATAAGAAACTACAGCCGTATATGCGCGATTCTACAAGTCAGTGGCGGAAATCTTGGTGGGGCGGGTGGGCGTCCGCCCCCCCCCCCCACCTTCATGGAAAATTGACGAATTTTTTTTTACCTAAAAGAGGGATAAAAACAGTCTTTTCGAGTGCAAGTGGGGGGTACGTCGGAAATTTGAAAGTTTTGACGCAAATTTAGGAGGCTTTGCTCCCCCCCAAACGAATAAAGTGAATTTCCGCCACTGCTACAAGTAACTGAACAGGCTAATAAAAAAGTCAGTTCCTTGTATACCTACTCACGCAAACACTGAGAAAGGTTTTCGTCCATCGCCTCCACGATAGTCTTGATGGATATCAACCGAAAATGATTTCCCGTTCCCGTCATAACAATACTGATTGAGGCTTTAATTGCACGCTAATGAAGCGTGAGATTGTCCCCATGGGCACTAAATATTAGAATATTCACAACTGATCTTTATGGGCATTTACATCGATTACAGCTGCTCATATTTTAATTAGTACTTATTAACACCAATTAACAATTGGTGGAAATATAAAAGAACAGGAGAGAAAAAAATCTTTGTTCCTAATACGATTACTACGCTTCCAACGCACAATGATTACTAATACCACCAATGCGCGCCCAACCTCTTATTACATACTCGCCCGGCCCCCTTTTGGTTACATGATGTGCCGACGTAACGAGGCTTGGTTCCCTAGCTGTTAACCTTTGTTATTGCATAACCTCATGAAACCTGTATAGTGGCTAAAAACTTGTATAATGTTAATTATATACCTGTATAGTGGGCTTATATTCAGGGGGGCTTATATTCAGGGGGGGGGTTTATATTGGGAATGGTGTGAACCTTAGTTATGTGATGATGGGCTTATAGACAGGGCTTATTCGGGGGTTATGTATTTTGAATCAGCAATGTGATGGGCCATATTCGGGGGGTATATTTGTAGAGGGGCTAGCATTCTGGGGGGACTTGAGAGACTGGAGGTTTGTGGGTATTTAAATTACCGGCCATATGAAGGTTGAAAGTTATAAATTAGCAGAAATTGACATGTTGAATTAGCAGAATTGACAATACACGGACGAAATAAAAGCAAAAAAGGATTGACTTACCAAATCGGTGTAATTCTTCTTGCAAACTATACAGACAAGAGGTAACACGTGCTCGTTCCTTGATCTAGTAGCACTAGTGGACGCCGCTAAACTTGATCGGAAAACTTTATTCGGGATAGGATCACTACTGCCTTGGTCAACCGACGCCGATGGGATTTGATCTCTTTTTCAGCTTTTTTGTGTCTTGCTTCAGCACGATTTAATAGGGTTTTATTGGTAAATGCTGCATGAATAGCATTTGCGATGAAACGCCAACTCTTTAAAATTTTCATAGCGATCTTCTTCCTCGATGCTTATAATTTGAGTTGTACGTAATGCTATGTCTTTCTGACAGCCGTCAATTTGTATCCATTGCTTCCGGCATTCCAGAAATCTTTCGAATGAAACCTCTGTAAAATTTGTAAGTGGCCCGACACTGTCTTCGCAATGAATAAACATGTATTTCCCAATTCTGCCATGTTCAGTCGGCCATGACGAAAACCTCTTTGTTAAGAGGAGATTTTTTGTATGTTACGTAACACGCGCTCAAAATTAATGCGTACAATATATATATATACCACTTGAGGTTATGACTAAATTCTAAATCTTTATTTTTGAATACGTTTCTCAATCAGCAAACAAACTTAAGAAGTGTGTTTAGTGCTTTATCTGTAACATAATGCTAAAATGAAGGGATTTTAGATGATACGCCGAAGATAAAATTATGTCTGAAGTTCAGTAAGTTTTGCAGTTATATGGCTGTAAATATGGCGTCAATTTTAAAGCATGATTGATAATTGTATTTTAATTGACAATTTCTAACTATTATTTTATGTTTCTCAACCGGCACATGCATTTCAAAAAGTTGCTAACTCTATAAACTAGAGAATAAAGCTAAAACAAAGTAATTTTGAGAGAAACGCCAAAAAGATTTTAGGTTTTGAACACTTTTCATTGCAAATACGTGACATTGAAAAAAATTGCCTCTTAATATTATTACATAAAGTTTCGAATTTCGAGGAGCGCCAATTGTTGAAATTCAAACGCAAATTTATGAAAAACTGCAGGTTTATAGAAGTGCCAACAAGCAGAATTTTGAAAGGTGCGTAAGAATCTATATATTCTGTGATTTTGACGTAGTCTCCGAATGTGTCCAACGAAAATTGTTTTCTAAGCGACTTTTTGGCCTTGGGAATACGGACTATAACTTTGAGGCCTTAAATGAGGGTACCCCTGGGAACACAAATTATTCAAACATTTTGTTTTGCATGAAAAGTTTCTTTGTTTCGTTTTTCAGTTAATTCGCGTCACGTTTTCTAAATCAGTCTAGTATACGTCATATGACGACAACAACAACTGCAAGCAATATTTGTCATTTTCAAAACAACGTTTAATCCAGCGGCGTAGCCAGCTTGGATAATTGGGGGGGGGTCCATATTTATATATTCGTGTTCACAGACCTTGAAATAATCGATTTCCAAAGAAATTAATATTGCGGAACAAGAATATACGAATATGGACCCCCCAAATTATCGAGCTGGCTACGCCGTTGGTTTAATCTAAAATGCAAGTGCATACAGAAGAATATTTATAACAAGTTTCTTAAAGTAAGGATTGCAAAATTGCATTCAGAAAAATTACTTAAAGAATGTTTTGTTTTTCTCAAAATAAAAAAGTGATTTTTCTCATTATAAAAAATTTTCTTCAGAAAAAATATTTTTATTCTCCCAAGAAATTTGGATTTATTTGAGAAAAATTTCTTAAAATAATTTTTTTTTTCTTAAAGTAAGAAAGCGAATTTTTGCTTTGAAGCTCGAGAGATGATTCGCAAACTTTCTTTAGATTAGTACGTATAAATTCCATTTGGTCATAACTGTTGCTTGTAAATACGCACTCCTGTTCAAAAAGCTTTAACCTGATATCAAGTGCATGTTGACATGACTCCAGAGCAGAATCATAATCTTGCATTTCGCACTGGCATTTTGCAATGCTGAAGTAGCTATCAGCGACGACTGGGTGTTCCTTTTCATAGAGCGCCACGCTAATATCCAGGGATAGCTGGTGCCAATGCACAGCTGAATCGTACTCTTTCAAATAATACTCTGTTGTTCCAATCATTTCATGGCAATTGCGGAAAACGTCTCGCACTGGGTGAATTTTCCCGTGAAGATTTTGTCTGATGACAAGTGCTTTCTTGAACGACTTCAGTGCTGACTCGTAATCATTTTTGAAATATTGGATATATCCAATCTGGTAGTAGTTGTCGGCGATATCTAAGTTGTGGCCATAAAGCTTCAGTCTGATGTCTAATGCTTCATAATGATATCTCAGGGAATCCTCATAATTCATCTGTCTCGATAGACATTCTCCATTATGATAGCACCTTAAGGCTGTATCCGAGTTTAGCCGACCGTTTTCTTCTACAAAATTATCAAGAGCGTGCTGCAGCGCTGCTGGACTCTCTTGTTTTATTTTGACCACTAGCACGGCGTTTTCAACGAGTAAGAGTAGTGGGCGGTATAGACGGTCGTTCTGTGCCTCGGCTTCGACTTCTTTCCGTAACTTGGAGATGGACAAACCAAGTCTATATATCACCTCACCCATGTCATATTTGCACGCCAAGACCTCGATGAGAAGACCAAGTTCCAAGATAAGTGGTTCACTTTTACCTTTCAAGATTTCAATCTCTTTCTCGTCAGCGCAATCATCTTGTTGTATAGCTTTAAAGAAAGCACACAAGGATGGTCGGTCAGCGCATTTAGTTAAAACAATGTTCCGGTAATACGAAGACTTTTCTGCGCAAGAAACAATCAAAGCAAGAATCTGGGAGCATAAAACCTTAAGTACAGTATTTTCAAA